CTCGATGCGCGCCAGACCAGCCTGATCGTCATCCAGCTCGTAGTCCAACTGCTGTTTGCGCCCAGCTGACACGTCGTCTGTAGATTGCGCCAGGCTATGAAGCGCCGATCCTGGAATGGTCACATTGAAGTAGTCGACCAAAGAAGGATCGGTGAAGGATGTGATGCTGTACTGAAGCAGTGCGGGCTCGGTGTTGTTGAAGAGCACGGGCAAGCTTGCGGTTCGAGCTTGAGGACCGACACAGTGACAAACTGTTCTGGCGTGCTCGTGGGACAAGGTGGCTGTGCTGTATGGCAGGATGTGAACCGTGTACTGCGGGTGATGGGGACAAGAGTTAGCGGGTCAGGGAGGTGAGCCAGCTCGAATCCATGGACATCGCCACGCGCACCTGGCCGATAATGCGCTCCTTGGGCGCTACGAGTCGCTTGACTTCCACTCTATTGCCCTCAAAGGAGAGCTGTCCAGCCCACGGATTGACCGTATCTGCCGAGCAGGTTGCGTGCAGGCAATCCTCAGCATCAACCAATCGCGGCCGCCGCACAAGAAGGCGCATATATGCTACTCACTCGCAAGCCCAGTGACTGTAGAGCCAATCGTCCCGACCACCGGCAAGGCGTAAAGTATGGTAGGCAGCCATCTCCACCCACCCGCGAGCAAAAAGTCAAAGGAGGCGAGCAGGGCAAAGATGGCGGCCCACACGGTGGGTTTGAGGTCCAAGCGCGGTATCCTCAATCGAGCGAGCGCATACAACAAGCCTACGTCCAGCAAGAGAGATGTTGTGAGAAAAGGCGCGAGAAGATTTGAGCTGCTGGCGCTACTCGAATGATGTGATCCGGTTGATGCGAGGGAGGCGATGGGCGAGATGGATTGACCGGCTGCGAGAGGCTGGATGAGGAGATGATAGATCTTGTAAGAGTGAAGCAGTACCGTCGCTGTAGCTGCCCATCGTCTCTGTGTCGGACCATCAGCGAGGGAGAGGGGAATGAGCGAGGGAGAAGAGCTCATCGTGCGTCGTTCGAAGAAGAAGAATGACTGATTGCGAGTACAGCTCTGCGCGCGGGCGGGCGTTGGGAAGAAGGTGCCAGGCAGCTACTCTACCGGATCATCATCTCCATCTCCATCGAGCGAGCGTGGTTGGTGCTGCGCCTGTTGAAGGGTTGGTTGCAGTGACAGACTCAATTGAGTCTGCCAGAGAGGAGCGTGTTGGGAGAAGGAGTAGGTAGAAGCGGAAGGAGAGCCTGTCGCACCTGCCCGCAGTTGCGAGTGAGGATGGGTGTGCACGGCAATCGTGAATCACGTGAATGTGCACGGCTTGATGCTGCGCTGCTCGGTGAGTATAAGGTGGAGCTGCTGAACACGCTGCGTGCAATCGTGACTCGTGACTCGTGACTGCAGTCACAACAGTAGGAGCCTCCAGCGCCAGTCACGAGTCAGCTTGGGAGTTGCTTGCTGCTGTGCTTGTCGCTTCATCTGTGCTGCTGCTGCTGCATCCACGGTCCATCATCATCATCTTCCAAAAAAGACGCGTCTTTGCGGCCTCCATGCAGTCTTGAGTGCAGTCACGAGTCGCGAGGGTCACGAGATCGACTTGAGCCGCGGTGTCATACCGCGTACGAGACATTCACGCCGTGATGTCGGACACACAGCAGCAGCAGCAGCAGCAGCAGCAGCGCGTGGATGCGCGGCCAAACGCGCGCACCGCGAACGCGCGAGCGGCCTTCGTGTCGCGTTTCGTCGCTGCTGCTGCTGTGCGTGATGAAGGGCGGGAGGATGGGAATGGATGGATGGCATTGAGCAGTCACAGTCTGCAGCGGTGCGTGAGAGAGGAGAGGAGAGGAGAGGAGGGGAGGGGTGATGGAGCAAACCTCATCATCCGAATCCGAATCACAAGCGCTCACACTGGCCGACCTGCTGTACATGCTCGGCCATCCATCTGACGTTTGACTTCCTTTGCAACTCGTGCTCGTGCTCGTGCTCGTGCTCGTGCATACGGTCGACTGTACTCACGAATACCTCAAGTCGATCCATCAGTCGTGCTGTCCGTCGCCTTGCTGCTGACTGGGACAAGAGCAGCTGCTGCTTGAAGCTTTCGCCAGGCGAATCACCTTCACACCCGCACCCGCACCCGCACCCGCACCCGCACCCGCACCCGCAC